ATTCAGTTTGCTTGGCAGCTATATGTTATAGTGGTCCGATATCGACAGAGCCGACAAATGGGCAGCTTTTTGAAGAGAATATGGCGTTTGCAAAATTTCAAAACGATATGTATCTTAAAAACGGAGGGACTAGTTCATATACATACGGACAGACAGACAGACAAACCGACATGGGTAAATCCACTTAGCTTAACATACTGATCATTTATATATGTACTTTATAGGGTCTCCGACGCTTCCTTGTGGGTGTTACAAACTTCGAGACAAACTTAATATACCCTTTCAGGGGATAAATAGCTCTTAAAACCCTTTTAATTGTATGTGAAAATCCCCATGGGAAATGGTATTTACTTCATAGATTAATTGCATATGCCAACAACAAACTCTTTTAAATTAAAATACAGGATTTTAAACATTAGCGAAATGCGATCCTTAGTTGAAAGAAACACTTTTGAGTAATCACAACTTATTTTTAATGTTTTGTGTTTTTCATTTCCATTACTTTTGCAAGAGAGATCTCAGCAGGGTACCTTTAAATATCCAGTGTATTGGCGGGGAGTGTGGTGGTGAGTAACATTAATTGTTTGTCACTTACGTAGGCTTGTAGCGGTAATTGCTGGTTAATGATTGATGCAAGTGTGTTTGTGCAGCTTGCTAACATTAAGTGCAATTCAAGAATATGAAGTGAAGTATCAGTACTAAAAATCGAGGGATAGGCGAAAAAAGGACAAATAGTGCTGAAAGAAATTTAAATCTGTGAAGCTGCGCTAGCAACTAGCGTCGACAACAGCAAATGAGAACACCATAAAACGCCACCACTTCTGACCATTGTCAACGACACAGCTCTTGCATCCATAAAGAAGACATTGTGCAACAATTTCTGGTGATATAGTCAAGTGATAAAATATTTCGAAATTTAGTTGGCAATAGAGCTGCTTTGAAATAACTCACCAGCATATAAGTATGTAAGAACAGCATCAGTAATAAACAGATGTACATTTCGCTGAAACCTTGACTCTTGGAATAGCATAATTAAAATTCATTGTAAATATATAAATATGCCCCACCCAAGATGCAGCTAGTTTGCCTCTTTATGCTCGAGAAGAGAGCAAGAATTAATGACGAAAGTAAAGCACACAATTTCGGTGTTTTTGAATTGTGCTTTATGACGACAGTGAGGGGACCGCGTTCAATGCATTTCAATAAATCCGTGGCAAATAATAAATACTTCATATCCATCAAGCTACGTCCATACGCTGTTTTGATAATCAGTTGAATTACAAAAAATCAATTAGATATCGAGCTTCATAAAACACATGTTGACATTCACAGCGCCGCCCACACTTTTGTAGTTTGCTTTCGATTATTACACACACACATACATGCACAATCCCCCACACACATTGCTCATATGTCTTAGCCTCCCCCAAAACAGGACGCCGAAACAAACCATCCAAACTTAAACTGGCCTATTTTGAGCAACAAAGTATTGGTTAATTTCAACCTAACTAACCACAAAAAAGTTTTGGAACCATTCTATTTAAAGTCTCTTACCTTTTCTCATTTCTAAAAACTTTGCAGGTCGACGTGAGGAAATTTTCTCGATTGGAGACCATGGTAACTCTTCGATTTAGCTATGTGTCTTCTTCACATGCCAGATGACAATTCCAAGACCTCAAAAGTATGTAGTGTAGACATCAATTGGGTTCCGATTGAAATAGCATAGAGCGCAATGAAGTGCGATCTTGGGAGGAAGAGTAAGTTAGTTCTTGGAAATAATAAAGATTTTCAACTGAAATTTCGGTTATTTCATATTTCAGCAAATTTTACTACATCCGTGTCCAATTCAGTGAAAACCGGCGACAGCCTTTGTTGTTGGCGAATAATGCTTAACATGTTGCCTTGGATTTCCAGTATTTACATATAAGAAAGAAATGCAGATACCTATAATTATATCTTAAGCCGACATGTACATATCTCAATTCTTAAAGAATATAAAAAAAAAATGAATTAAGATAAAGTTTACTCTAATTGATAAAAAGGAAAGTTCCAGGTAAGTAAACGGGGCATAAGTTATTCAAATTTTGAGAGAGGATTTTTGTAGTTTTAAACAAAAAATTAAATTTAGAGTTTTTGCAGATTTTATTATCACTTTTACATTACTTTATGAGACAAAAATGAAATCAACGAACTCTTAGAAGCTTAAAGAAAAAGTCAGAGTTTGAGTGAGAAAAATAGCAATGTAAAGAGTATTGGAAAGCTTATGCAAAGCTTTATAACTGAAACATTTTTGAATTCACACCGAATTAAAAACATTCTGGTGTGTAGTCATGATGTAAGAAATGAAAAAAAAAACAAAAATAGAAATGAAATGTCCACTTAGCAAATTCATGATTGTTTCTGCAACTAGAACTGTATAAAATCTGTGGTGTTTAATTTTAGTCACACATAAATGCCTGCAGTGACAACTTTTAAAAATGCGCGTGCCATTATTGCTATCAGGTGACCAAATTCATTCGTCAATGGATGGAAATGTTGGAAAAGCAAAAGCCATTGGCGGCCAGTATTGTATTTGTGTGAAGCAAAAGGGCACACAGACGAATGTTCCAAGCACACATACACATAAATGGCGGAAATTGCTTTTTCATAACAAAATTCCAAAATATTGCATGTGATTGTGATGTATCATTGCACACTTTCCGGTAGTGAAAATAGGTTTTTGCTTCACTTGTGGCAGCAATCAGCCAAATTTGTTCATGAATATATTCAAATAAAGCAAATGAATTTCATTTTCAATTTACTTTGACAAAATAGTGCTTCTGATCATGGAATACAGCAATAAAAAATCCACATAATGCCAATGTCATTATAGCTAAAACTAATGCCATATTATAACAGTGCAAAGCCAAGTTTTTGGTTTCCCTTCCATTTACTTGCATTATGGGAGCTCTCACAAGCCGCGTTCGTTTTACAGCCAGATATTAGTCAGGTCTTTCCCACCCCGTGTGCGTGTCCAAAAGTGTTGTATGTTGACGTCATTCATGGTATTGTAATGAGCAGTGTAAACACCGCCAGGAGCCAACGGCTGTTTGAGTTGCATCATCCTTGAATAATTTAGGACCGGCAGTGTGCATGTGTACATGTCCAACAATATTGTTGTTTGTGTTCTTTCCTCTAAGCAAGCAATGAGGCCTTTTGCTTTACATTCTACATTAAGTGGAAAGCTTTTAAGCCGCTCATTAGGAATAATGAGTGTTGATGCTTTTTTGGTTGTCTGTAATTTGACCAATTTGTGCGAGCTAAATTAAACAGAATTTTTACCTACGTTACATTTTAGCCAAAAAAAAAAAAAAATAATAACCTTTTTGAGCTACTATTGAGAGCTCAAATGAAACACCCTAAATGACTTTTAAATTCAAATAATCTAAAATAAAACTCAGCAGTAACTCAACATGCAGATAAATGTGCTTGAGGATCCGCTGTAGGTGGAAAAGCTGCACAGCAATAACCAAAATCACAAAATGCAATGGATATATATATTATATTAATGCGAATTACAGCTGCAGCAAATACTCTTTTGAGTTACCGCCCCTCTCTTTGCTGACTCCCATAATAGCTGTCCATTCAAACTGTATGTTCAAGTTGAGCCGAGCAGAACCGAATGAATAATTGTGTGTTGGAGGTGTGGGCATGAAAAGAGTCTGCGAAAAGAATGGTGCCGTTTGCATAATTTATGCTGTGGAGTTGTTCCATCTAAAACTCACTAGTTCATTGCCTCTTCGGCTTCTGTACGAGTATGTATGCCAGCTCTTTTCATGTCTCTTGTGGATGCATAGTTGTGTTATCGCCGACACTCATCGCATTATAATCAGTTATGTAAACACCATTAAGAGGCGACAGCTGGTTTTGGTGGCAACCTGTCTGAATAGTACATTGCAACACATCCATTTCTACATAAATATGCAGCCAAAGGCCGTTGCGATGTCTGCTTTATTCATAAGCCATTAAAAAAAAGCTCTCGCGTGTATTTAAGCAAATGGTAAATTCTTTTGTTTTAAGTTTTCACATCGACTTATGAAGCTTTTAAAAAACTCATCAGGCATTAAGGGTGCTTTGCTGCTTGTAATTTGCTCAATTTGCGCAGATTAAATTTCATAGTTCGTTAATCCCGGTCTTATATATGTACGGTTTTGAGTATTTAAATTTTATATTTCTTCCTTATTACGGTGTCGGCACCGTTTAGGCTGTAAGTTAAACATTTGTTCTAGTTGATCGGTTTTTGGAAGCTTCCGTTCAACTTACAGTGAGTGCCACTAAGTATGTGCAACATTTATATGGAGTTTTATGCTTAAACTCACTTATTTTAAATTTATCACCTATTTGCATTCAAACGTATTATTCTAACTTTATGAAATCATAAATGAAAGTGACTTTTAATGACGAATGCAAAGCGGTCGTTGTTGTTGTATAAAAATTTCAGAGTGAAGTAGCTGAGTATGAAAACGGTAATGCAGCAGCGCATGTCCATCAGAAGCAAATCGCTTATTACACTGCGCATAAAATAATGAAATCTGTAGGCTTTCCGCAGACAGGCGGGTAAAGTAGTTGTGTACAAATTGGGTTGACGATATAAAAAAGCTACTGAATCAGTACTTAACTTTTCAGCGTTTTCATTGCAATAAATAAAATAATAATTAGCATCCTCAATCGATTGTTATTGCAGCTAAGACTAACACACTCTCATTGCGGTTGGAAATCACCAAGCAGAGCTTAGAAAGTACTATTTGGAATTTTATGTCAGTAATTAAAACGCCAAGTGTAAAATTCAATGAATGTGGTGAGAGTTCTGGTATTCACTTGCGCTGCACTCGCGTAAAACCCAGCCGGCATGGGAGTGAAATGCAAATAACTGAAAAATTCTACCATTTCCAGATCACCGAGCAGTCGCCTTACTCATACTGCCACGTTTTACTGCATTTCAATGCTCGACAAAGCGGCCGGACGTTTCGGCCAATTCAAGCATTCATACTAGAGTTCCATTGCAGTTTTCATATCATTTTAAGTCAACCTGTTGAAATATGTGAAAGAATATATTCGCCTTTTCGCTGTCAAATTGCACATTGTTGAAATTTTCATTTGGTTTTCAAATGAATCAAATTGAATTTGGATGATTGAACCATTGCTTGAACAATAAGACAGACATCATAGGCAACAAAAGCAGACCGGTGATTAAACTTCTCTCAGTGCACAAGGCTCCAGTGGTGCCTGATGGATGAGTGCATTTGCGAGTTGCAAGCCAAACTTACCTTCCTCCCTTGACTCAATTGCGGTATTGAATGGAAGTCAATTTCGGATGCGCAAACTAGCTGGTCGCTTGAGAGGCGCTTCTAGGAATATATTATATAATGCAGTTTGTGTATATATACGCCCAGGTGTGGCGAACATCGATAGACATTTTCTATTGATTCATTGTAGGAGTCTAGTTCTGTTCTAGTTTGCTGCTGCTGCTTTGCTTTTGTCTGACATAGAAGATCAATTGAAAATTGTTTATGTTCAACTTGAAGACTTTTAGAATTTTCTAATAGGCGGCAATTGAAATTGGGAGGCTGTTAAGTTGATCGATAATTAAAAGCTAAAGACAAATGACCAGACCAATGAATTGCTGCTAATTAAAATTAACATTTAAAGGTACCATCTTAAACAATATAATAAGGTGTTGCTTCTACCATTTACGAATTTGCTTAATGGGGAGAAGGACCCACCAATTGTTTTCATACTCTAGCAACATGTTGCTACAGAATACTAGTTTAATAGTTTTTCACTTAGGACCTAATCGAGGTAGAAATAAGGTTAGATATATCAAGACAAAAAGACGAATTGAAATCCGAATGTCTGTCTACCCGTCCGTGCAAGCTGTAACTTGACTAAAAAATGAGAAATTTTGATAAAACTTGGTATGCGGCCAACCGATCGTTCGAAGCATTGGTCATATTTGTGCGTCAATGCAGAGCAAGTTAATAATATGGAACAGAGTGTGGAGGGCCGAGCGATTTGGGAAGGGTTATGATAAGTGCTGGCTAACACCCATTCTCGTTTATTTTAAAAAAATTTGGTTTATAAATGTTGGTGTGCGAGACGAAGTGCAGAACAAAATGTAGTGCGGAAAGTTCATTATGTTACGTCTCCTTTCCATCTCCTCTCTGATTTCAGTTTGTTTTAATAAGAAGTTAGAAGAAACTTTCCAAAATGCACGTCGTTTCAGCTCTTCTATTTTGCTGAAAAACTGAGTAAATAAGCGACCGCAGTGTTGCTGGTCTGAAATTTCGCGCTAAAAACTACCACAATACCCAGTCGGTTTGATGTTTTGTGGCCTTAAGTGCCGTTTAAATCTGAGTATTTATTTCGCGAGTGGAGTAAGTGAGGGTGAAGTGGTAAATCCAACGAGCATTTAATTACGTCGCTTGTAGTTTCCGGAGGAGATAATAATTATTTGTAGTTACAAAGTAGAACGAATTGTGATTTTCAGCGCAGAAAATTTCTTTCGTTGATTATTTGAATGGTTAAATATTGATGCTGAATGTGTGTACAGAGGACGGTGAAACGTGAGTACTTCCGTGGTGACTCTCGCAGTGTTATTTTCTCTTCAACATTGAGTTGTTGATAATTATTAAAATAATAATTAAATTCCCAAATTCCCAACATCGAAAACTTTGTTTTGTGCAGCACCTACTCTACTTTGCAAGTCCAACACTTCTAAGCTTAGCAAATTTTGGTATTCATGAAATTTGATATTTTTAAAATATAATATAATTCTGTGTTTCTGCAAAATGATGTAAAATTCCTCTGCTGCACCATTAAATGCTGCAGCTCATAATAAATGGAAAAGAGTTATCAACTCTAGCTTCATTATCACAATTCTCAGATTTCACAAAAGCTCAGCAAAA